TTCTTCCTTCAGTGCTGGTACCTGGTTTATGGTCTGGTCAAATTAAATATATAAGCCACTTCCAAACCAGATAGACCATACAGGGTTCCTGGTGATAGAAAAGTTGCTGTAATCGATCTTGCCTCTGGCGCTCTAAAAATTTCTGCTAATTTTAAGGGTAGGACATAAAATTGAACAGTGTTCATTTATAGTGAATATATTGTGCTCTGTCCTCGCTGTTGCTAGGGCAAGTTCAAGTTGCTGACCCACAAGTTCAACTTGCAGATTTGCTTTTATATGGATCAGTTGGATTTTCTTTTCTTTTTTCTTTTCTTTTTTTTTTTTGTTGAGAGACTTTTGCTATAGGGTGCGTGCGCTCGCCAGACAGAGAGAGACAGAGAGACAGAGAAACAGAAAGCGAGAAATCACTCCCCAGGGGGCATGGCCACACCACAATCCCTTCTCCTCCATTCTCCTCTTGGGATCTTGGGCACGCACGCACATGCACCCGGCATGAGTTTTACGCCACCAGGTCCGGGACACAAACCGCGGTCAACTACATGGGAATCCAGCCACATAGCCGTTACACTAACTGCTGATCCCCAGCTCGATTTTCTAAATTACCCTGTGGTAGGCTGCATCCCTCCCCTTGAATGGCTGACTGGATTAGTAGAAAGTAAACTGAGCTATACAAAATTAACACAGACTAGTATTTATTGGTTTACCTTTACTACTTAAAACTCAAAACTTGTATTTTACCTACAGCGATACTCCTGTGGCCTCTGTTTGTGAAATGACAGCCCAAAAGATAAACGTGTCTCACTTTGGCTATGGTTATATCTGTCTTTACATTAAATATGTATTAATTTAAGACTTGAACCACATAATTTTGATCATCTTTTGACTTCCCGCAGCCAGTATTTTTATTTCCTTCAATGAACAGAAATGAGCTGTTTAGGGGCGAGGACTGAAAGCTTTTGTTCCTTGCCATACCTCCAGTGCCTAGCACAGAGACTGGCTTGCATTTGGCACTTGATAAATATTTATTAAATAAACAAGTGAGAGAAGAAATGACTGAATTATCATTCTGTGGAAAAGATAATGTAGTTTTCAGAAACCAAGACATCAGACCGGCTGTATCCTTCCTATAAGTTTACTTTTTTTTTTTTTTTTTTTGAGAGGTTTTTGCTATAGGGCCCATGTGTTCGCCAGCAAGAGAG